TGCTTGGGCCCCTACACCCTCATGGGAGATCCAGAGGAAGCTCCTGGCTCCTGGCTTCGTATCGGCCCAGCTTTGCCCGTTGCGGCCATTTGGGGAGTGAACCTGAGGATGGAAGACCTCTTTCTTTCTCTCTCCCTTTCTCTGTCTGTAACTCTGCCTCTCAAGTAAACAGATAAATTTTTGGAAAAAAGAAAAACAATTTAATAAAAGCTGGGCAAAATACTTAAATACTTTCACAGGGAGATATTCAAATGGCTAATAAGCACATTACAGTGTGCAACATTTTTAGTCATTAGAGACATGCAAATTAAAAACATAAGATACCACTATGTAACCATTAAAATGTCTAAAATTGAACCCCATAATATTTTTTTTATTTGACAGGTAGAGTTATAGACAGTGAGAGAGAGAGAGACAGAGACAGAGAGAAAGGTCTTCCTTCCATTGGTTCACTCCCCAAATGGCTGCTACGGCCGGCACTGCGCCAATTCAAAGCCAGGAGCTAGGTGCTTCCTCCTGGTCTCCCATGCAGGTGCAGGGGCACTTGGGCCATCCTCCACTGCCTTCCTGGGCCACAGCAGAGAGCTGGACTGGAAGAAGAGCCACTGGGACTAGAACCCAGCACCCATATGGGATGCTGGCGCCACAGGTGGAGGATTAACCAAGTGAGCCACGGCGCCGTTCCCTCCCATAATATTTTTAAGAGATTTATTTAGTTATTTGAAAAGCAGAGTGACAGAAAGAAAGGGCAACAAAGAGAGGGAGAGCTTCATCTACTGGTTTGCTCCCCAGATAAATGCCATGGCCATGGCTGATAAAGATGAGGAGCAAGAACTCTCATACAGTACTAGGAGAGTACAGCCAAACTGGAAGACAATTTGGCAGTTTTGTATAAACAGGTATCTACCCTGTAACTGCAATTCTACATCTAGTTCTTAAACATGTGCCCACAGAAAGCCTTGCATAAGAACATGCATAGAAGCTTTATTAAAAATTGCCCAAAAATGGAAATAGTCCAGATATGTGCATAGAATGGATAAACAAACTTTAGCATATCCATACTATGGAATACTACTCAGCAATGAGTCTACTACTATCTACAACAACATGCGTAACTCTTAAAAACATTATCCTGAATGAATGAAGCAAAGCAAAAAAGAGTATATTATATGAGGAATATTTCTCATAAATTTGTTATAGTGCTATACCCAAAATAAAATACTTTTAAATTTTATTATTTAATCAAAATAATTCTTAACAAAAACTGCTGACAAAGTGTGGGGAGCAACTCGGACTAGACTGTTACTGGAATTAAGACTTATTCTATGCATCTGCTTTCCCACAATATGGCGCTGAGAAGGGAGTAACAGCTTCTATGCAGCTGCCTCCAGTTCAACCTATAAGCAGCAGGACCTGCTCCTGATTGGAGGAGAGCAGCGTACTCGGCATGTGGGTAGCAGAGTTGGGATTGGTGGAAGAGGACTATAAAAGGAGAGAGACAACATGCACCAGGAACATCTGAGGGAACACCTGTGCAGCCCCCGAGAGAGCCGGCCGGCGGTGTGCCGCTCCCCCGCGGAAGTGGGGAAAGTGGCTAGGGGGAACTGCCCTTCCACGGAGGTGGAAGGGGCGGAAGCCAACCCGGGAAGAACCAGCAGCAAACCCGGGGAGGGCCGAGCAGACAAAACAACAGCGCAGGGTCCTGTGTCGTTCCTCCACGAAGACGGGGAGCGACATAATGGTGCCGTCACTCGGATATGAAGTCTAGGCAGGGTTTAGTGTCGTTCCTCCACGAAGAGGGGGAGCGACATAATGGTGCCGTGACTCGGATAGGAAATCTAGGAGGGAAGAAGCGGGAAGAAGCGGGAAAATACCAGAGAGAGAGACTAGCAAAGAGCCTAGGGGAAAGCCGGACAGAAAAGGTGCCGGAAGAAGCTATCTAAAGCCTAGGTATACACTCGGATACGGACTACGGGGGGAAGCTGGGAGAAATCTCTAAGGTTGAAAGCAAAAGTGAAACCTAGAAGAAACTTAGACTTGGATACGGACTGTGGAGAGAAGCCAGGAGAAATGAGGGGGGAGTATTGTTGGAGGAGAAGTTGGGAAACATGCCGGGTAGAGAAAAATACGTTAGGGAGAATGAAGCCGCCGCGGGGCGAGGCGCCGAGAAGCAGCCTCGGGGCGGGCGCCGGGAAGCCGCGAGGATAAGAGAAATAGAAGTATAGAAGTAAAATGAGAGAAATAGGAATGCTGGCAGATAGAAGTAAAATAGGAGAGATAGGAATGCCCGGAGATAGAGAAAAATAAGGCCTCCCCACAACATGGCAATGAGAGAGCTTGGATTCGGTCTGCCTGATTAGTAAGACGATAAGCACCTGCTGGTGGCTAGCAGTTTACCCACTGCAGGTCACCGAAGACAGGCACGTTATCAACACCAATAAATCTCCCCACAATACGGCAATGAGAAGGCTTGGATTCGGTTTGCCTGATTGATAGGGCTTGTAAGCACCTGCAGGCAGTTCTAGCAGAGCAGAGCATGCGCTGCAGGGCACCAAACACAGGCACGCATCAGCGCCTAAAAACCTCCTCACAACATGGCGAAGAGAGGACCCGGACTTGGTTTGCCTGATTGGTAGGGCTTGTAAGCACCTGTGGGCAACTCTAGCAAGCAGAGCAGAGTGTGTGCCACGGGGCACCAAAGACAGGCGCGTATCAACGCCAAAAATAAAAAGAAAGGGGGATCTGTGGGGAGCAACTCGGACTAGACTGTTACTGGAATTAAGACTTATTCTATGCATCTGCTTTCCCACAATATGGCGCTGAGAAGGGAGTAACAGCTTCTACGCAGCTGCCTCCACTTCAACCAATAAGCAGTAGGACCTGCTCCTGATTGGAGGAGAGCAGCATACTCGGCATGTGGGTAGCAGAGTTGGGATTGGTGGAAGAGGACTATAAAAGGAGAGAGACAACATGCACCAGGAACATCTGAGGGAACACCTGTGCAGCTCCCGAGAGAGCCGGCCGGCGGTGTGCCGCTCCCCCGCGGAAGTGGGGAAAGTGGCTAGGGGGAACCGCCCTTCCACGGAGGTGGAAGGGGCGGAAGCCAACCCGGGAAGAACCAGCAGCAAACCCGGGGAGGGCCGAGCAGACAAAACAACAGCGCAGGGTCCTGTGTCGTTCCTCCATGAAGACGGGGAGCGACAACAAAGTACTACTGATATGGGCTACTAAATGAGTCTCATTTCATTATACTAAAATTGTAGTACTTTTTCTCTACTACTAGGACTTTTTTTTAAACATTGACTTTTACTTGAAAGGTGGGCACAGAAAGAGATCTCCCTGTCGGCAGGAGCAGTGCTGGGACTCGGAGAGGGCCACACAGTCGGACCAGTTGCTGAGACGAACACTACACTGGGCAGTCTCGGCATATCATGAGTAGATAGACGCTGCTGCCTTTGACTGGCCTTGGTCCTCACAGCTCCAAAAACAGGATCTTGATAAGCTCTATGAGCTAAAGTCCAGAGCTTGGCAGATCATGAACTAGTTTGGCCCCTCAGTCCTAATCAACCTCTGCAATTTCTCATCCATAAAACTGAAACCAACCAGCACCCCTCCTCAAGGCTCCAAGGCCAATAGCACTACAGAGGTAAAAATACCAGGCACTTCTGGGACAGGAGGTTGTCTTAGCCCTGTAAACAATCAGGTACTGACCAAGAAGAAATTGCAGAATTTAGTAAGAGAAGTGAATCCTAATGAGCAGTTAGATATAGATGTGGAGGAGATGCTACTAAAGGTTGCTGATGGTTTTATCGAGACTGTGGTGACAGCAGTCTGTCAGCTTGCTCAACATCCCAAGTCCAGTACCCTGGAGGTGACAGCTTTATCTAGAGAGCCAGTGGAACATGTGGATCCCAGGGTCTGGCTCTGAAGAAATCTGACCCTACAAGAAAGTCTGCACCACAGAAGTTCACAGAGAATGACACTGATCCAGAAAACAGTACAGAAATAACACACAGAAAAGTCAGGGAATAGACAACATTTAAATGTATTTGAAGATACTTGAGCAGAGAGCTCAGCCATCTCATCCTTGGCATTTTTTTTAATGCTTTACAAAGAAGCATATATTTTTTATTAACAGTGCAACAGTATCTATAATGACTGAGAAGATCTGCCAAGAGAATAAAGCCTTCTAGCCCAACTTCCAGTCCCTTCTCCCTCCACCTCAGAGGGGTACCTTCCCAGAGAAGATTTTTTTTGTGGTTCAGTGTATAAGTGATTGAACATTGGATAAAGCAAATTATCTTGTTGGGTGAGACAGCATTAGCAGGATTTATAGCAGGCTTTGTATTCTTCTCCTTTTCCCCCATTCTCTGTACTTTGTAATGCCAGTGTCTATATGAATATGACTTTCATCTGCTCTTCCAGAATAAAGAAGTTATTAAACGACAACAAAAAAGATTTATTTTACTTGAAAGGTGGGTATAGAAAGAGAGACAGATCTTCTATCTGCTGGTTCACTCTCCAAATGGCTGCAAGGGCTGAACCAGACCAAGCCTAAGCCAGGAACCAAGAATTCCATCCAGGTCTCCCACATGGATGTAGGGGCCCAAGTACTTGGGCCACTCTCCACTGCCCTCGCAGGCACATTAGCAGGGAGCTAGAATGGAAGTAGACTAGCCAAGACTCAAGCCAGCATTCATATGGGATATTGGCATTACAGGCAGCAGCTTAACCTGCTATACCACAATGCAAGCCCCTACAGGATTCTGACTGAAGTCAGTGACAGATTATGTCTCAATCTGGAAAGGAGTGAACACTTGAGAAAAGCCTGTAGGGGCTCTTAGAATTTTTAACAAATAAAACTTAATATACATAGTAAAAGATGGCTATCACATTATCATATCTGATCTAAAGACTCAAATACGTTAAAAAGTTTTAAAGACTATATAGTCAAATACACAAACTATAACACTATAGTAAAATATACAGAGAAGCCTCACCCACAGTTAGACAAAACTGCAATACATGCACTGCTCCTTCTTGTTTCAGAAAGTTCATGAAACGAAATAAGAGATCCTGTTGCTCTCTGATTTGCTTCAATTCTAACTTCAGCACCTTGACACAACATGTAAGACAGAGTAAGTTAATGCTATGTAACTGCATTCTAAAATTGTTTCTATCAAAAATGTGATTGCTAAAAATACTTACAGATGGTTTTTTATTTCTAGGTTCTGCAAATTTCTGCAAGAATGGAACCAAAGGAGAAGCTGGTTCGGTAGCTTTTTCAGGCTTTAAAAAATTATTAAAATTTTCACTGGATTTGACATACAGATCAAAATTCAATCTGAAACATTTTCTAATTATGTTTAATACTTACTGGGCTGTCATCTATGAAGATGATAAGCAAATGATTCACAGTATCCTAGGGGAAAATAAACACATTTCAAAAGAATTACATTATTGTATTCTGCCCAGAATCCTCAGAATTATAAAAATTTCTAGAAAAATGAAAAAATAAATTGAGCAGTAACAATGCATCTAAATTTACATATGACACATATGACAGAGGAACTTTTTAAATATCTACAGTGGGGGTTCTTAGCCTTTATGAAAATGGACGAAAAAAAAAGCTAATCTGATTTTGGTATTTATTTATTTTTTTACAGGCAGAGTGGACAGTGAGAGAGAGACAGACAGACAGAAAGGTCTTCCTTTGCCGTTGGTTCACCCTCCAATGGCTGCCGCGGCCGGCGTGCTGCGGCCGGTGCACCGAGCTGATCCGAAGCCAGCAGCCAGGTGCTTCTCCTGGTCTCCCATGCAGGTGCAGGGCCCAAGCACTTTGGCCATCCTCCACTGCCTTCCTGGGCCACAGCAGAGAGCTGGCCTGAAAGAGGGGCAACCAGGACGGAATCCGGCGCCCCGACCGAGACTAGAACCTGGTGTACCGGTGCCGCAGGTGGAGGATTAGCCTATTAAGCCATGGCGCCGGCTTGATTTTGGTATTTAAAATGTTATAAATTATCCTTGTTTCTTCAAATCTTAATCAAATGTGAAAGCATTCCAAGTGCCCACTGGTCAAACAGATAAGCAAAATGTGGCATAAACATCCAATGGAATATTACTCAGCCTTGAAAAGGAAGAAAAATCTGACATATGTTACAACATGAATGAAACCTGAAGACATTATGTAGTAAAATAAACCAAGTTACTAAAAAGACAAGTACTACAGACTCAACTTTTATAAGGTACCTAGAGTAGTCAAATTCATACAAACATGAATAGAGGATGGCTGAAGGGAGGAAAGGAGGAATAAAGAGTTATTATTGCATGGCTGTAGTTTCAGTTTTTTAAGAGTTGGGAAGAGGGCTGGTAGTGATGGCTGCACAATAATAAGTTTATTTAATCCCACTGAACTGTACAATTATAAACATTTAAGATGGTAGATTTTATTTGTAGTATACTTTATCAAAACTAAAAAGAAGATTTTTAAAAACTCTTACTGGATCAGCAAGGAAATCCAAAGAAGGAAGGAACACAGAACCAGACAGGATCTCTCTTATAAGTAAAGTCAAAGATCTGGAAAAGTAAATAATAATTATATATACCTAGCAACACACATTAGTACTTAACAATGAAATATATATGAATTACCTGAGGATCATGTTAAAATGCAAACTGTAGTGGCTGGCACTGTGGCATAGAAGGTAAAGCCTCCACCTGAGAACCTGGTATCCCATATCAGTGCCGGTTCAAGTCCTGGTTGCTCCACTTCTGATCCAGCTCCCTGATAATGCACCTGGGAAAAGCAGAGAAGACAGCCCAAGTCCTTGGGCCCCTACACTGACATGGGAGACCTGGAGGAAGCTTCTGGCTCCTGCCCTAGCCCAGGCTGTTGCCATTAGAAGAATGAAGCGGTGGATAGAAGGACTCTCTGTCTCTTCCTCTGTCTCTTTGTAACTCTGCCTTTCACATAAACAAAATCTTAAAAAATAAATAAATAAATTTGTTTTTAAAATGTAGATTGTAGGGGTGGGTGTTTGTCCTATCAGTTAAGATACCCATATTCCACACTGGAGTACCTAGATTCAATACCTGGCTCCAACTCCTGACGCCAGTTTCCTGCTCATGCAGACCCTGGGAGGCAGCAGTGATGACACGAATAATTGGGTTCCTGCTATCACATGGGAAATCTGGTTTGAGTTGTCAGCTCCCAGATTCAGCCCCAGGCCAGACCAAACAACTGCAGGCATTTGCAGAATGAAGGAGCAGATTAGAGTGCCCTGTCTCTCCCTCTTTCCCTCTTAAATAAATATAATGTTTAAAAATACAGAGTATAATTCAGGAAACCTAGGGTGAGTCCCAAGATTCTGCTACCAGGTAACATTCGTTTTATGGGCCCCAGACCACATTGTAAATATCATGGACTTAAGAGTCTTTACTTGCTAAAACAGAATATTATGTAAGAGAAAAAAGTATTCCCTTAGCAAAGGGGACTTGGAGGGCATTAGAAAATACTTCCTGCCTACAAGTATTTAAAATGTTTAATATATTTTTAATTAATGTATAAGACTAACGTGTCTAATAGTATAAAGGAATTACTTTATGGTTGTATTTAAATTAATGTTAGAAATTAGAATAAAAATCTTTTTTTAAAAAAAGATTTATTTATTTATTTATTTGAAAGTCAGAGTTGCAAGAGAGAAAAGGAGAGGCAGAGACAGAGAAAGAGAGAGGTCTTTCATCCACTGGTTCACTCCCCAACTGGCTGCAATGGCCAGAGCTGCACCGATCCAAAGACAGGAGCCAGGAGCTTCTTCCGGGTCTCCAACATGGGTGAAGGTGGCCAAGGACTTGGGCCATCTTGTACTGCTTTCCCAGGCCATAACAGAGAGCTGGATTGGAAGTGAAGCAACCAGGATACGAACCAGCACCCATACGGGATGCCAGCACTGCAGGCGGTGGCTTTACCTGCTACACTACAGCACTGACCCCTAAAAATATCTTAATTAAAAATTTTGTAAACAAAATATTATTCGAAGTACATAACTAAAAATAAGCCATGTTTTCTCCACTCAGGACTACTATGGTAAGAGCAATGAAGTAACTTATGGAATAAGCTAAACCTACTCTGGCAGAATAAGGAAGAACAGACTGGTTACCTTAACATCTAAACTTGTCTTTATTGTCTGTATAAAATGTTTCTGCCTAGACAAGTCATATCTGAAAAAGTATTATGACCTTAAATAAGAAAATTTTTTTTTCAGATTTGTCTGAGATTCCCACAATTAGTTTTCAAGCAAAAACTCTAAGTAACACAACACACCATGAATACACAGCAACTGATTGGCATTTTAAGACAGATAAAATTATTGTTTCAAATGAAAAATTGTTCACATCACTGGCTAAGCTCAATTTTTAGCATACTCCTATTAGGAATATGAATAACTATACACAAATGTTACTATATTTGCTAGTCTATTTATACCTGCAGTCTGTTGCTTTAGGAGGCAAAATATAAGGAAAAAGCAGTTCAGTAAGCTTCCTTAAATACTGTAATTCATCTCTTCGACTTCTCAATGCCACATGAAGTTCCGGACCATATTCTTCTAACGCAGCTTGCTGTAAAAACTCTGTATTTTTTACTACAAAGAGAGGTAAAAAGTAAATACTAAAACAGTTAAGAAACATTAAATAACTTCAGTCATCTGCACTAACACACAGAAGATTAAAACTTAACTCAATCCTTTCCTAGCCTCTGCTCTTTCAATTTAGGGAAATTGTTCAGGAGTAGGATTAAAGAAAAATTCTTCTTTGCAGCAGTTTATTTTTGCAGTAAACTGGTAAAGAGATCTTTTTTCCCTTGGAAAACGAGAAATTTAACTCACGTCTCTGAAATTACATAAAATAACAGCAAATGATAATTTTTAAAAAGTAGAAAAATCTACAGAAAACATTCAGCATGCACAACACTTTGGTTATCAAATGTTACATCTTACTCATGCTCTGCAAAATATTTTAAAAAGTCCTACTCAAAATTCTTTAAGTACACCTGTTTTCATATCCATATCCAGACAACCTTTTGCAGCAATTATAGAAACTGGCATCCTTGGATAAATTCCCCATCTTCTGCCCAAATAGGACACAAGATGTAACTGTACAACACAGAAATTCTTGAGACTTTTGCATAAATATTAACTGATAATAAAGACCTGTATTAACAGAACTTTTTTAAAAAATTATTTAAAGATTGTATTTGTTTATTTGAGAGGTAGAGCCACAGAGTACGGAGAGACAAACAGAAAGGTCTTCCATGCGCTGGTTCACCACGTCAAATGGCCACAATAGCAGGAGATGGGATGATCCAAAGCCAGGAGCTAGGGGCTTGGTGTGGGTCTCACACATAGGTGCAGGAGCCCAAGCACTTGGGCCAGCTTTTACTGCTTTCCCAGGCCATAGCAGGGAGCTGGATTGGAAGAGAAGAAGTGAGGAAATGAAACAGTGCCCATACGGGCTGCCTGAACCACAGACGGAGGCTTAGCTCACTATGCCACAATGCCAGGCCCCAAACAGAACTTTTTTTGTTAAAGGCCAAAAATGGGGCCAGCACTGTTGCACAATGTGTTAAGTCATGGCCTGTAGCACCAGCATCCCATATGGATACTGGTTCAAGTTCCAGCTGCTCTGCTTCAGCTAATGTGCCTGGGAAAGCAGTAGAAGATGGTCCAAGTACCTGGGTCTCTGCGCCCACGTGGGAGACTCGAATGAACCTCCTGGCTCCTGTCCTCAGCCTGGCCCAGCCCTGGTCATTGAAGCCATTTGGAGAGTGAACCAGCTGATAGAAGCGCTTCTCTAATAAAGATTTAGGAAAAAAAAAAAAAAAAAGGCCAAGAACTAAACTAATATTTCTCAAAGATTTTATTTATTTATAAGACAGAATTGGGGGTGGAGGGGTCAGGGCTTTAACCTGCTGCAATACGGCACTGGCCCCTAAACTAACATTTTAAAACTCAAAAATAATAGCATTCATTTCCTTTTATAAACTCCAGAAAATTAAGTGGAAAGACAAATCATACTTTCTCCTTTCTATACTCTGCTGAATTTTTTTTTTTTTTTTTTTGACAGGCAGAGTTAGACAGTGAGAGAGAGACAGAAAGAAAGGTGTTCCTTCTGTTGGTTCACCCCCTAAATGGCCGCTACGGCTGGTGTACTGCACTGATCCGAAGCCAGGAGCCAGGTGCTTCCTTCTGGTCTCCCATGCTGGTGCAGGGCCCAAGCATTTGGGCCATCCTCCACTGCCTTCCTGGGCCACAGCAGAGAGCTGGCCTGGAAGAGGAGCAACCAGGACAGAACTGGCGCCCCAACTGGGACTAGAACCTGGAGTGCCGGCGCCACATGCGGAGTAGATTAGCCTAGTGAGCTGCAGCGCCGACCGACTCTGCTGAATTTTAAAATCTTAAGTCTGTGCAGAGAATCCTAACCTAAATTCAGTGGCATTGGCTTTTTTTTTTTTCCCTTTACTTATTTTTAAGACTTATTTTATTTGAAAGAGAGTTACAGAGAGAAAGAGAGAGGGAGAGACAAAGAGAGAGACAGAGAATCTTCCATCTGCTAGTTCATTCCCAAATGATTGCAAAGGCCAGGGCTGGACCAGGCTAAGCCAGGAGCCAGGAGCTTCTTCCAGGTCTCCCATGTGGGTGCAGGGGCCCAAGTACTTGGGCCGCAGTCTGCTGTTTTTCCAAGGCCATTAGCAGGAAGCTGGATCAGAAGTAAAGCAGCTAGGGGCTGATGCTGTGGCGTAGTGGTTAAAGCCACCGCCTGTAGTGACAACATCCCATATGAGTGCCAATTAGATTCCTGGCTGTTCCACTTCTGATCCAGCTCTCTGCTATGGGAAAGCAGTGGAAGACGGCCCAAGTACTTGAGTCCCTGCATCCACGTGTAAGACCTGGAAGAGGCTCCTGGCTCCTGGCTTCAGATCGGCACAGCTGCAGCCACTGTGACCAACTGGGGAGTGAACCAGCAGATGGAAGACCTCTCTCTCTCTCACACTCTCTCTGTCTCAGCCTCTCTGTAACTCTGATTTTCAAAGAAAATAAATAAATATTTAACAAAAAAAAAAGAGAAAGTATTCTGTCATTTTTGTCTCAGTGCAGACAAAAAGTTCATGATTATAGAAAAAGGCAAGGAGATCTCAGTTGGAGATGTTGGTGTGAACGCAATTGACATTTTCAAGCATTTTGTGGGAATGCTTCCTGAAAGACTGTTACTATTGTTTATATAATGCCAGCTTCTAAACCAAGGAATCTAGAAAAGAGGTTTTTTTGTTTTGTTTTGTTTTTTGTTTTTCCTTTTTTTGCATGTGGGCACAGCAAAAATATCACCATCTAATGTGTTTTTGCCAGTGAACGGACAATAATTCCAGAAGTTCATTTTTTAATTTAATAATTGAGAGGCTGGCACAGTGGATTAAGCTGGCACTGCACACACGACTCCTCTACTTGAGATCCAGCTCTCTGCTAATGTGCCTAGGAAAACAGTACAAGACAACCCAAGAACTTGGGCTCCTTCCACCCATGTGGGAGACTTGGATGGAGTTCCTGGCTCCTGGCTTCAGCCTGGCCTAGCCCCGACTATTGTGGCCATTTGGGGAATGAACCAGCAGATGGAAAAGTTTGTGCATGCTCATTCTCTCTCTCTGTCTCTGCCTCTCCCTCTCTGTAATTCTGTCTTTCAAATAAATAAATGAAGGGCCAGTGTTTTGGTGTTGCAGGTAAAGCCACTGCCTGTGGTGCCAGCATCCCACATGCGCTTTAACTCTACCTATAGAATAATTTCCCAAAACGTGCCCTAATTATATTAATTGATATTATGAGGAAGAGAAAAATGGCTCCAAAGACTTGGGATATGCTCAGCCACAGTTAAAGCTATTACTTCACTGCAAGGTTATTCAAAGCTTTCAGTGTGAGAATAACTACAGGGAATTTGCAGAAGGAAAAAACAATAGTAATGATCAAGAAACATGACCATTTAACCTCTTCTACGTGAGCATCTACATGGAGTAGTACTCTCCAGAATGTAGTTCAGAAAGCACCAACAGAGCAGCCGCTGGCACAGTAGGTTGGGCTTCCACCTATGAGGCCAACATCCCATATGTGTACTGGTTCTAGTCCTGGCTGCTCTATTTCTGATTCAGCTCCCTGCTAATGGCCTGGGAAAGCAATGGATAATCCAAGTGCTTGGGCCCCTGCACCCATGTCGGGGACTTGGAGGAGGCTCCTGGCTTCAGATCAGCCCAGCTCTGGCCATTGCAGCTGTCTGGGGAATGAACCAGTAGATGGAAGATCTCTCTGTCTGTAACTCTGCCTCTCAAAAAAAAAAAAAAAAAAAAAAAAAAGAAGAAGCACTGACAAAGAATACTAAATGCAAACATAAGGAAAATCTAAGTTTGACAAAGAACCAAATAAATGTATAACACAGAAGTAATTTCATAAAAAGGAACAGTTTAGTTCAATCTTCAGAGCAAAGTTTCAAATGAAGATTTCATTCATTTAATCAGAAAACATTACTGAACATATATACATATGCTATGTGCATCTCATGATAGTAAAAAAGCCAGAATGCAGATGAGAAACAGCAAGCAGATTATCCTGGCTAAACCATTAATACAAAGTGAAAGACAAGACTAGATCAAAATATTTGACAATGTAGAAAAGGGCTTAAATACACAATTTAGATATAATACCAGTCACTAAAAATTTTTTTAGTAAGGTGGTAACAGGGAAAGTGCAATTACAGTGAAATTAATTTGACAGCAGTACACAGGATAAGAGAGAATACATCAAAAATGCTGAAATCATTAAGGAGAAAGGGGGAACAGAATGCAAGAGATACTTCAGAGGAATTAACTGGTATTCAAAAAAAGACAACAGTCATCAATAATATATCTAAAAGTTAACTAACTGTATTTTAATTTTCATAGATTGAATTTTTCACACTTAATATGGTTAACAATCTACTGAAAGGGATTTCAGTTTAAAAGAACACCCTCACAGCATTTGTAATACTTAGACATTGTAGGTAAATGCAGGTATATAAAAACATAATTATTCGGGGCCGGCACCATGGCTCACTTGGTTAATGCTCCACCTGCGGCACCAGCATCCCATATGGGCACCAGGTTCTAGTCCCGGTTGCTCCTCTTCCAGTCCAGATCTCTGCTGTGGCCCGGGAAGGCAGTGGAGGATGGCCCAGGTACTTGGGCCCCTGCACCCACATGGGAGACCAGGAAGAAGCACCTGGCTCCTGGCTTCGGATTGGTGCAGCGTGCCGGCCATAGCGGCCATTTGGGGAGTGAACCAATAGAAGGAAGACCTTTCTCTCCATCTCTTTCTCTCTCACTGTCTATAACTCTACTTGTCGAATAAATTAAAAAAAAAAATTATTCAAACTATAGTAGAAAACCATATTACCTTTCTGTCTGGCTTTAACTATCACTTCTATATGCTTCATTGCCGCTTTTAATAGTTTCTTGGTTATAATAGATGGAATATCCACCTAGAAAATTCAACGTTAAAAGAAAACCATTTAAAGTAATTTTCACTAACAACAGCAGAAACATAATGGGACTTATCTTAAAAACCAGTGGTATTAAGAGGATTTTTTTCTAGGACTATTATGTACCATGGCAAACATAGTTAATAATAGAGTATCATACATTTCAAGTTAGACAGTAAATTGCATATGTTTCCATCACAACAAATGTTACATGTTTGAGGTGATGGATATGCTAACTAGCTTGATTTAATTACTATACACTATGTTATAAATCATAACATCACTTTGTATCCCATAAATATACAAATTTGCAATGAAAATTTTAAAATTAGAGAATTACTCAGAATCTTCCAAAAATATAATTTAAAAGCATATTACATTCTTGGATTATATTGTTACATTAGGCATTTTTTTGACCATAGTATTGAAAATTTATCTTAATATGTATGTAAGAAATAGTACATTTAATAATATCTTTATACCTGGCTTGTTTCTTTATGAGCTCTTTTTTTAAATGCATTCAAGGAAAACTCTCCAGTAATTTATCATCCCCTTAAAACTGTAAATTTGTATTTACTAAAAGTTTACTTAAGAATAAATATCTTCATCCAGCTTAGAAGATGAACCCTGGTTTCAAGATATATGGAGGCATCCTATTTTTAAATAATATTGTTTCATCATTCTTTCCTAACATTTTTCAAACTAAAGGCTAGAAGCTATAGTGATTACAATAAGTTGGTAACAAAGAACTGAGGGCTTATATTACACAGAAAAGAAACAAAAAGTAACAGAAAATAAACTGTAAATAAAAAATATCACTAAAAATCATTTTACTGGACTTCAACCAGCTTATTTTCCACCATGAAACTTACCATATATATGCCTTCTATCAAAAGCATGAGAAAATTTCATCACAACAGTGTATTATGTTAACTTTTCAACTCTTTTCTACCTCCTATTAAGGAAGATATCAAAATCACAATGTGCTAGATCTAGCAAATGTGATGGATCATTAATGACCAAATATTAGTGATTTGTGGTAAAACTCAGAGCAGTTTAAAGATATCTTTTAGTTGTAAAATGTCAAACATGATAATAAAAGAATATATTTTTGCTAGTATTATGCTTCATTGCAAAATAACATTACTTTTCATTTATCCTTGGGTATCTGGTATTCAGTGACTATAAATACTCTCATATTTATCAAATAAACAAAGATGTTTTAGTTTTCAAACTAATAAACTGATAAAACTTATGAAGTTTTCCATTTGTAAGTTCCATTTTAGAGATTTCCAATCAGAATCAAAACAGTAAAATAATGAGTTTATCACTACACTTTGAAAACAAAGTTGTGGACTTTAAATGATTCTTTGTTTTCAACGGTCCCAAACTTCCAAATTATGGTATTCAGGCAATGGTATTGAGGGCAAAACACTGTAGTAGGAATAAGATGACCCAGGCTTAATCCTTTGCTTATTAATTATCTCTGACACTTTAACAAATTTACTAACTTTCCATAAGATTGATATAATAACAACCCATTTCTTCTCCCCAAGGAGAATAAGGAATATACAGCATCATAACCCAGAGAATGCAAGAAAATATTTGTAGATCATATAGCTGATAAAAAATTTCAGGGGTATTCTGAAATTCAGAATATATAAGTTTTACAATTCATAATAGATAATCCAGTTAAAATATGAGCAAAGGATTTGAATAAATACTTCCCCAAAGATATAGAAATGACCAATAAGCATATTAAAAGATGCTCAATATCACTGGCATGGGGAAATGAAAATCACAGCCACCATGAAATACCATTTCACATCCTGTAGTACCGACAACGATGTGAAAAATCAAAACCCTGATGCACTGCCGGCAGAAATGTAAATGGAAAATGGAAATGTAATTGGAAATAGTAAATTGGAAAATAGTGTGGCAATTCCTCCAAGTATTAAATGTAGAGTTGCCATTTGACCCAGGAATTCCATTCCTGGATGCTTTTATATACACAAGATAAATGAAAATATATGTCTACCAAAAAAATTTGTACACATGTTTATAGGCATATTAACAGTCAAAGGATGAAAATAATCCAAATGTCTATTATTTGCTGATGAATGAATAAACTGTAGTATATTCATACAATGGAACACTCTTCAGACTTGGAAAAAGCAAAGTACTGATACATGCTACAACACGACAACATGGATGAACTTTGAAGACATTATCCTTAATGAAAGAAATCAATCACAAAAGTCATGTATCATAAGACTCCACTTATATGAGTCATCTAGAGTAGGTAAATTCATATAGAAAGCAGAGGGCAGGCATTTGGCACAAAGATTAAGACACAGATTGGGATTCCAGCATCTCTAAGTGAGAATGCCTGAAGTCATGGCTCCTCTGCTTCTGATTCAGCTTCTTGCTAATGCGCACCCTGGAGGCAGCAGGTCACTACCTGCTCAAGTACTTGCATACCTGCCAACCAGATGGGAGATCTGACAGGGTCTAGCTTCCAGCTTTGGGCTGGCTCAGTCCTCGATGTGGCAGGCATTTGGGGAATAAACCAGCAAATGGAAAATACCTGAGCCTCTCTCTCTGCCTTTCAAATAAGATGAAAATAAATAATTTTTAATTTAATAAAATTTTGAGAGATCATAATAATCATTGCTATTTATTCAATAATTCATCTAACTAAAACATGACTTTTTTTCAATGGCTGTCTTCTCAAATATCTAATTTCCATGAATCAATATAGCCAAGCATTAAAGAAAGCAAAACTGATCAATGAATCAAAATGATTCATTAATGTTCTAACCAAAAAAAATAAAGTGAAGAAAAAACAAATACACAGGGTATAGGAGACAGTAAAACGAAGATTTAAATTATCTTACAAATGATAAAGTCCCAAATTTCTCATTATAAATATATACCTTGTGAATCCTTCGTATTAAGACAGATGCAAAAAACCGTAAAATTACTCTCAGTTCATCAACAAAGGACTCATCATCTGTCACATCCCTTTAATTGAGGAGAAAAGTAAACATTCAGTAGTTCACAGAAATACAATTCCATGTTCTAGAAAGCAAGAAAAGAACTTTGTCTTTTTTCCCATTTACTTATATAAGTTTTCTTTTTTTACTTACTAGTAATGCATTTCACTGCAGAATAAAAGAAATGCATAAAAAAGAAAATAAGTATTTTGCGTAATTCTAGTACTAATTACATTAACTAAATTGTGGTGTATATTTCCTTGCAGACATACACATATACATAATCCGAGTTGTAAATGTCACCAAAGAAATTTTAAGGAAACAAAAAACTGAATAATTTTGAAGAAGCAAAAGAATATGTGAATTTAAATTAGTTTAAAATATTTATAAAATAATGACATAAACTAATTCTAAAAGTAAAAAAAAAAGTATGCTCTATTTGAAAAAGTAAATAAATTGGGGAAGTCATTTTTCCACTGAAATTTTGACAATCATCATCTGAGGAGCTACTTTTCATTTTCCTACTTCTCATTTCCTTAGTTCTTAAAGTCCCTAGAAGAATTAGGACATTTTCCCAATCAAAGGCAGAAAGAAATTTTTATATAATGGTTAAATCCTGAACTTCAAGATGGCAGTGTTAAGTCCTGTAGCAGAATAAGGAAGACAACTGTATCAATGTTTTTTCACTATTAGTCTCAGGGAAGGAGACAAAATAGCATAAACAGCCAGACTGCGGAAAAAATACATACTTGGAAATATAACCATATTTTATGACTGATGAGTCTTAACGTGGGGGTAAGGAAAGTTGAGGTTGTCTTTACAAAAGGATTCATTTCACAAAAGGCCTCACTATCAGTTTTTCTTAAATGGCAAATGCCTCATATTTAAGACAAAACTCCAAAATAAAAAATGAATTCACAAAGCTTTTCAGAAAAATATGGCATAAAACTGGATACTAAATTTGTCTTACATTATAGGTGAGCTCAACTAGTGGCATTTTGTAAACTAGGAAATTCAAAATATAATGAATCAATATAAAATTAAGGTAGATGGGGGCCGGTGCTGTGGCATAGCAGGTAAAGCCACTTCCTGCAGTGCCAGCATCCCTTATGGGTACCGGGTCAAGTCCTGGCTGCCCTACTTCCAAACCAGCTCTCTGCTGTGGCCTGGGAAAGCAGTAGAAGATGGCCCAAGTCCTTGGGCCCCTGCACCCATGTGGGAGACCCAGAGGAAGCTCCTGGTTCCTAGCTTTGGATAAGCCCAGCTCTGGCCATTGTGGCCATCTGGAGAGTAAATCAGCAGATGGAAGACTCTCTCTGCCTCTGCCTCTCTGTAACTCTGCCTTTCAACTAAATTAAAAAAAAATTTTTTTAATTAAAAAAAAATAAGGTAGCTGTCATTAAACATTATACCTAAGTGTCTGATTATATAATCAAACACATGATACTTATTTAAGGAAGCATGTATTTATTAACTGACATAAGTCAGATCTCTCTCTTATTCTCAAACTGTAATTTTTTCTAAATTTGTTATTTTCTATATCCTGTAAAGCACAAGGTCCTTGTACATACACAGTATAACATACACCAAAAATAAAGTATCTTGGAAAAAATATTAATTTCCAGGAACACTACTAAACTTTCAATTTAATAAAGCATTTAGATACCTCATCCCCAGGTACAGTCATTTCACACTTCATCTTAGCCAAAAGGCCGAGAAGCGATTGGTACATTCATTTCAAATGTGAAAACACTGTGCAAAATTATTAAATCACTATATTTAGGTGTGATCCGAATTTGTTTAAGTTATTCTTCTTTCAAAAAGCAACCTAGATTTTTTTTTTAACCTCCTTAATATCTCTGAATTGTTTACTTATTGCCTACATCAGTGGTTCCTAACCAGGGCTGAAGATGTCTTCCAAGTAATAGTTGACAATCTCTGAAGCCATTTTCAGAGGTGAGGGCTAGGAGAGAGGGGAGGATGCTATTAGGAAATAACAGGAAAAGGCTATGAGTGCTGCTAAATATCCTGTAATGTACTATCCTCCAAGATTTAGCCTAAAAAGGTCTCAACAGTGTCAAAGTTGAGAAATATTATTTAAACTGAAAATCTGTCATTAATATGTCCATATCAAATATATTAAAACATGTATGTATTTAGTATATTCAAGAAAAAAGATACTATAGACAATACGTACCTGTACCATGGATAAACAAAGTTTTCCAACACTAATTCAAAAACCTGCATAAAAATTGATTTTTAAGAAAAATAAAATTAATTCTGGGAAAATAAATTATACTATTTAATAACATGTAATATTACCAAGAACCAATTTTACTGTCCCAAATATTGACAGTAATATCATATCTTCATAAAAAATGCATATTTTAACCATACATAATTGTGAAGATCAAAGAGAATATATGAGAAAACATTTGGAAAATCCTAAAAGTCCATAAAAAGGAAAAATTATTACTAGAGGAGCACATATATTTACAACTATCCCTATAATCAAACAAAAAACTTAAATAAATTGTGTTTGGCTCTGAAGCTTAGCGGAATCAAAAAAGTTCTATGGAAAGAAGGAAAATACTGGGGCCGGCGCCATAGCTCACTAGGTTAATCCTCCGCCTGTGGCGCCTGCATCCCATTTGGGCACTGGGTTCTAGTCCCGGTTGCTCCTCTTCCAGGTCAGTTCTCTGCTGTGGCCCAGGAAGGCAGTGGAGGATGGCCCAAGTCCTTGGGCCACTGCACCCGCATGGGAGACCAGGAGGAAGCACCTGGCTCCTGGCTTTGGATCGGCGCAGCGCGCTGGCCTTTTCTCTGTCTCTCTCTCTCACTGTCTAACTCTATCTGTTAAATAATTTAAGAAAAAAAAGAAAGAAGGAAAATATTAGGTTGGTCTTCTGCATCGCAACTTTCTCTGTAAGTCAGTATTACCAGAATAAAATTAAGAAAAAACTAGCTAAGATTTATATATAAGGGATCAAAATTAGGTGCCAAACAAGTGAGGAAAAGAGGGTGCAGCTATTAGAAGTGAACTAAGCTCTGGGGTGCTGGTAATATTTTGTTTCTTGATCTGGATTGCTGATTAAGTTCATTTCATTTCATGAAAATTTTAGTATATAAATTTTATGTGAATCATAAAATCAGTATATAAATTATATGTGGAAAAGTAATGAGGCCAGTGCTGCGGCTCAATAAGCTAATCCTCCGCCTTACAGCGCCGGCACACCAGGTTCTAGTCCCGGTCGGGGCACTGGATTCTGTCCCGGTTGCCCCTCTTCCAGGCCAGCTCTCTGCTGTGGCCAGGGAGTGCAGTGGAGGATGGCCCAAGTGCTTGGGCCCTGCACCCCATGGGAGACCAGGAGAAGCACCTGGCTCCTGCCATCGGATCAGCGCGGTGCGCCGGCTGCAAGTGGCCATTGGAGGGTGAAACAACGGCAAAAGGAAGACCTTCCTCTGTGTCTCTGTCTCACTATCCACTCTGCCTGTCAAAAAAAAAAAAAAAAAGTGATGAAATAAATTCTGGATGTTGAACCTGCTACTTCATGGCTCTGAGTATAGCAATATATTGTTAAATTTCAAGAAGAGTTGCAGTATTACCCAGTAACTTAAATAAGCATCAGGAGGGAATTTATGTATGTATCTAATTTATATGTTTCCTGAATCAGATCATATACCTTCTGTGGGAGTAGTAACAAATACTGCAAATTCTCTAGATTAGGCATTGAAGTAACATATAAAGAGAGGTATCGGGTATGTAGCACAGCGGGTTAACACCCTGGCCTGAAGCGCCCGCATTCCATATGGGCGCCGGTTCTAGTCCCGGCTGCTCCACTTCCGATCCAGCTCTCTGCTATGGCCTGGGATAGCAGTAGAAGATGGCCCAAGTCCTTGGACCCCTATACCCATGTGGGAGACCCGGAAGAAGCTCCTGACTCCTGGCTTCAGATCGGATTGGCACAGCTCCAGCCACTGCAGCCAATTGGGGAGTGAACCAGTGGATGGAAGACCTCTCTCTCTCTCTCTCTCTGCCTCTCCTCTCTCTGTGTAACTCTGATTTTCAAATAAATAAATAAATCTTAAAAAAAAAAAAAAAAGAGATGTAAAGGGTTCAAAGAGACAATCAGAAAAAGTTATCATTATTTGCCCTTCCATTCTCTACATCCCATCAACCACCAAATCCTACTAATTTCATAACCTTAGTGGTCCTCTTCTACAATACCACTGCTCAAGGTCTTCATCTTCTTACCCCTTATATTACAGTAATAGCCTCTAAAACAGTTTCCCTGTTTCCAAGCTAACTCCTCTCCATCCTCCACTACAATGGCCAAAGTGATCTAAATCACGGAGGTTTCAGAATCTGACCACATCACTCTGAAGCCTTCAAAATATCAAACCACACATATGAAAGGAGTGCTGCACTGATTTTTAAAGGAGAGAATGGCAGGGCAGTAACTGTGACAATTTACATTTTTTTCTTAAAGGTTTATTCATTTAAGAGGCAGAGTTACAGAGAAAGGGAGAGACACAGAGAGAAAGCTCTTCCATCTGTTGGTTGACTCCCCTAATGGCCGCAAAGGCCAGAGCGGCTCTGATCCAAAGGCAGGACCCAGGAGTTCCTTCTGGGTCTCCCACATGGGTGCAGGGGCCCAAGGACTTGGGCCATCCTCCACTTTCTTCCCAGGCCATAGCAGAGAGCAGGATTGGAAGTGAAGCAGCTAGACTTGAACTGGCACCCATATAGGATGCTGGCACTGCAGGCGGCAGCTTTACCAGCAATGCCACAGCACCAGCCCTGACAACTGACTTTTCACCTCCCACTGCATCCTGTGAAGCAACAGCTAAAAACTAGTTACACAGTTTGAAAATCACCTGTTTCCAGGATCAATTAATCTAAACTCCATCAGCACAGTCTTTAAAGTCTTTTCATGATCTGATTTCTAAACAGTCATATAAAAATATGGGTTAAAAAGCAAACTAGACTGGAGTTTTTGACTGAATTCTACCACCAACTACCAACCAGATATGAAACAAAACTATCTAAACTCCAGTTATCTTTGGTAAAATCTGTAATAGCACCTTTTTAATAGGCTGTGTGCAGACTACATGAAATCATGCATAAGCTTAGCACAGTGCTCAATATACAGTACATACACCAATAAATATTCAGTACTAGAGTAATATTGTTTCTTTATTATCCTCATCCTCTCACATAATATCCTTCAGTCCATCAAATACTCCATCTTGTTTCAAGCCTCTCTGCTTTCCAGAACTCTAGCCAAACCCTGCAATTCTCTTTATCACACTATAGGTATGGCAAACTTCTAGACACCCTTCCTGACTGCCTCTCTCAACAGTTACACAGTTCCTATACTAATTCTACGCCTCATACATTTTTTACACTATTGCCTACATTACACTATATTGTCACTACCTGCTTATATGTGTCTATCCCCATACTCTCTGACTGAAGTTCTTGTCGCTCCCCCTCTTCATGGAGGAACGACACAGGACCCTGCGCTGTTGTTTTGTCTGCTCGGCCCTTCCCGGGTTGGCTGCCGATCCTTCCACCTCCGTGGAAGGGCGGCTCCCCCTGCCACTTTCCCCACTTCCGCGGGGGAGCGGCACACCGCCGGCCGGCTCTCTCGGGGGCTGCTTAGATGTTATCCGGATGTTCCCCTTAGATGTTCCTGGTGCATGTTGTCTCCTCCTTTACAGTCCTCTTCCACCAATCCCAACTCTGCTACCCACACGCCAAGTACGCTGCTCTCCTCCAATCAGGAGCAGGATCAGCTCCTGCAGGTTATTGGTCGAACTGGAGGCAGCTGTGTAGAAGTTGTTTACTCCTCTCCCAGCGCCATATTGTGGGAGAGCAGATGCATAGAATAAGTCTTAATTCCAGTAACTTAGTCTAGTCCGAATTGCTCCCCACAGTTCTTTACAACAGAGGACTACATCTTATTTCTCTTCTTTTTCTTAGGGCCTAGTCCAGTTCCTGCCTACAACATAATCTCAAAAATGCTTTTAGATATGAGAACTAATATTTATTGAACACTAATATGTGTCAAGCACTGGACCAAAAGCTTTCCATATTTTTCAAAGGAGTGAATATAATACCAAAGACAAACAATGATACCCTTACTTAGAAGTTTTCTCCAATAGACTTCAAAGCAAAACTCTCCAAAAAAACATAAATTAAGTTTAGATTCAGGGAGAAAGGGAATATCCTTATGTTAGAATTGTGTCTACAGAGGCCAGCGCTGTGGCACAATGGGTTAACACCCTGGCCCAAAGAGCTGGGCGCCAGTTCGAGACCCGGCTGCTACTCTTGCAATTCAGCTCTCTGCTATGGCCTGGGATAGCACTAGAAGATGGCCCAAGTCCTTGGGCCCCTGCACCCATGTGGGAGACCTGGAAGAAGCTACTGGCTCCTGGCTTTGGATCGGCGCAGCTCCGGCCGTTGTGGCCATTTGGGGATAGAAGACTTCTCTCTCTCTCTCTCTGCCTCTCCTCTGTGTAACTCTGACTTTCAAATAAACAAATAAATCTTTTTTTTTTTTGACAGGCAGAGTGGAAGTGAGAGAGAAAGAGACAGAGAGAAAGGTCTTCCTTTTCTGTTGGTTCACCCCATAATGGCTGCTGCGGCCGGCACAACGCGCTGATCCGAAGCCAGGAGCCAGGTGCTTCTCCTGGTCTCCCATGTGGGTGCAGGGCCCAAGTCCTTGGGCCATCTTCCACTGTACTCCTAGGCCATAGCAGAGAGCTGGACAGGAAGAAGAGCGGCCAGGACAGAATCCGGCGCCCCGACCGGGACTAGAACCTGATGTGCTGGCGCTGCAGGCGGAAGATTAGCCTAGTGAGCCAAGGCGCCAGCCAAATAAATAAATCTTAAAAAAAAAAGAACTATGTCTACAAACCATATTCAATCTGTTAAAAAACTAACTAAAACTTAAAATAAGAAAAAAGGGGCCAGTGCTATAGCATGGCAGGTAAAGAAAGCCATTGCTGCAGTGCTGGCATCCCATATGGGCCTCTATATGTCTGTCTACTTAAAGTTTGAGTCCTGGCTACTCCACTTTCAATCCAGCTCCTTGCTAATGTGCCTGGGAAAGCAGCAGAAGATGGTCCAAGTCCCTCGGTCCCTGTACCCACGTGGGAGACCTGGAAGAAGCTCCTGGCTCCTGGCTCCCGATAGGCCCAGCTCCAGCCATTGCAGTCATTTGGGGAGTGAACCAGCAGATGGAAAATCTCAATCTCAATCTCTTTCTCCCCACCCCGCCTTTCAAATAAATAAATAAATTTTTACAAGTAAAATAAGAAAACAAAAACAAATTTCTAGTAGCTACATTTTTAAAATAACTGAAAAGGAACAAGCTAAATTAACTCTATATTTTACTTAACCAAATATATGCAAAATATTATTTCTATATGTAATCAATATAAATATTGTAAGATGTTTTACATTTCTTTCTTATTACTAAGTCTTCAAATATCAGTACCTATTTTATATACATATACAGCACATCTCAATTTAAACTAGCACACTTCAAGTGTTTGTTAATAGCTAATTTGGCTAATGACTACCATACTGGACAGCACAATCTTAAATCAAGGAATCTTGGAAATGAAAAAGTCCTTAAAAAGAAATGAATAAAAATGTCAAAAATTTGAATAGGGATACAAATTGGAATAAAGGACAATTAGGAGAGATTCAGATGCTAATACTATTCTCAAATAATTAGCATTCAACTTAATTCAGTACATCCAAAATAGCTACCAACAACATTTGTGACCTTCAAACTTGGTAGAGGAACTAGTAAGACCCCATACCCTGCCTTCAAATACTTTACTTCCAAGGTAACAAGAAAGATAAAAGAGTAAGTTTTCTATCTATCCCCATATTATACAAAAATACTGAAAACTATCCCATTCCCTCCATTGTTCTTCAGTAAGTGTCAAAATTGAGGTCATAATTCAATAAAACATGAGGATTCTTCAAAAAGCTCATGAAAAATGGAATTAGAAAAAGTTTATTTGGGAGCAAAAAATTTTGAAAACCATGCATACTTTTTTCATAACACACATTTTTCATAAACTTTTTGACGTCTCCTCATATACATTTGCTCCATGTAGCTGAAGGTTCCTTTTGGAAATACAAAATGGTTATTTCTACTGCCCTGTGGTTTGGGGAGTTGAGAATAGAAAGGTGAGAACCAGGTACATATTCATTAGAGCCTCAGACAATGAAATGAATGAAGTAGTACTTTCCCAGGCACATTAGCAGGGAGTTGGAATGGAAGCATAGCAGCCAAAACTCATATGGGATGCCTGCATTATAGGCAGCACCTTAACCCGTTTTGCTACAATGCCAGCCCCATTCTGCTATTCTTTTAAGAAGTGTACTTTCTTTTCCTTTAATAAATCTTTACTGTTAAGCTTATTATCTGTGAGCTTCATTCGAACCAGCATCTTTATGGAATGCCAGCACTGCAGGCGCAGTTTTACTCACTACGCCACAGTGCCAGCCCCTAAGCTTGCAATTTATTTTTCTCAATTTCTCCAATAAGCCCTTTTTTATGTCCTATCTCAAATTTAAGGTGATCAGAGAGGCAGAGATGAGAAAACCTGGCTATGAAAAAGTTTTAGAATTTGCTTTACTCAGCTCTCTCAGTTAACCCTTTGTTGCCTTCTGCCTCACTATCACAAAGATCATTGTTTTGGGGGGCAGGTGTTTGGCTGAGTAGTTAAGGTACCTTGTGGAATGCCTGCCTTCAAACTGGAGTGCCTAGGAGTCCCAGCTTTGCTTCTACTACAGCTGCCTGGTAATGTACACCCTAGAAGGTAGCAAGGGATGGCTCACTACTTGGATCCCTACCATCCATACTGGAGATCTGGATTGAGTTCCTGACTCCCAAGCATTTATGCAGTGAACCAGCAGACAAGAATTCTCTCTCTTTCTCTCTCATATATGTATGTCTCTGTGTGTGTGACACACACACACATTCACACACATATATATAAAATTGGTGTCCTTCAAATGAAATAAATGAAATTTTTCTTGACAAAAATGACTGTCTTCACAGAAGATAAGCAACCAGGTAAAGCTATGCTTTCTTTCACTAAAACATCTATTTAAGCGTGGAATCTAAAAATATTCCTGCCTCACTACTCAAATTGCTTAATCAACCATCCTCTAATCAGAATTGATTAGATGGCGTATATATGTACTGAGATGCTGCAAGATTAAATTTTTTGACAAGAAAAAGTTTCCATAAGGCATTTAACATGTTCTGTTTGAGTATATTTGTTAACACAAATTAAATCAGTTACCTCTGAGAGAGATGCATCAACCTTGGATGAAATTTTCAGGTCTAGCCATGGCTGGTAATTTTCAAGTAGCAAGGAAGGTCTAAAGAAAATCAGACAATTAAATCACTTGAAATCCAAAACTATAGGATCAATAAATAAAAAAAGGCCAACTTACCTATGTCGTTTGCATTTCACTTTACCACATACAGCACAGCTATGGCCTTGAGGAAATAATTCTTGAAGTCCTAGCTGCTAAAAAAGGGAAATGGGACGAGGAAGGAGATTTTTTACTAAAGAGAATCAACTTTCCACAAGCTTTTTCAAACAATGTGTGAATTCAGAGGTTTGTTTTTCTTTTTTTTTGCTTGTTTGTTTGTTTTGGTCTATTCCAACGGTGAAACTACTTTGTAATACATAACGCTTGATACCAAAAGTAGTTCAGATTTCAAACTAGGAATATTTTCAATGGACTTTACTGATTGAACATCTCTAACCTGAAAATCCAAAATCCAAAATCCAAAATTTTAGTGTTTCATATCAATGCTCAAAAAGCTCCACAATTTGGAGCATTTTAGAATTGGATTTTTAAGATTAGGGATACTTAATCTGTACTTACAAAATTACCAACTAACAAGAAAAAAAAAAGCCTGATAAAATGTTTTACAACTTCTAAGCCAAATTTCCAAAATTAAAAAGTAAACTGCAATAATGGTTCATTCAAGGATTAATTCAATGAATACTGAATTATTAAAATAAAATTCAAAATTTAAATATAATTCAAGGAATATTTGAAAGTGATTACTGAAAAACTACAAGAGAGAATTATTTCTGCTTCTCCAAAACTTTGAATTCAATGAGGGAAAAGATACGTGGAGCCAGCACTGTGGCTGGTAAAGCTGCCACCTGCAGTGCCAGCATCCTGTATGGGTGCAGGTTCAAGTCCTGGCTGCTTCACTTCTGATCCAGCTCTCTGCTATGGCCTGGGAAAGCAGTAGAAGATGGCCCAAGTCCTTCACAGCCCCAGCACCCACGTGTAACACCAAGAAGAAGCTCCTGGCTCCTGGCTTCAGATAGTCCCAGCTCCAGCCATTGTGCCCATTTGGGGAGTGTATCAGTGGATGGAAAACTTACTTTCTCTCTTTCTCTCTCTCTCTCTCTCTCTCTGTGTCTCTGTCTCTGTCTCTGCCTCTCTGTAGCTCTGCCTTTCAAATAAATAAATAAATCTTTTTTAAAAATTCAGTTAACTGCCAAACAAATAAAAAGAATGTTTATGAGAGTCTCCTTATCAACTAAGCTTAGGAAGCCCTGTTTTAATTTACTGCACTTATAGTTAAGACAGAGGACACTCTAATAAAATTGTGGATCCAACTTTCTAAGAATTATATATATATATATATATATATATATATATATATATATATATATATAAATAGCCACCCATGTGGGAGACTCAGATGGAGATTCTATCTCCTGAATTTGGCCTGGCCCAACCCCAGCCATTGCAGCCAGTTGGGGAATGAACTAGAACATATAAGATCTCTCTGTATCTCTCCCTTCCTCTCTGTTACTCTGCCTTTCAAATAAATAAATAAATATTTAGAAATAAAATAAGAACACAATTTTACCTTGGGTTTGTATTTTATTGTGAAGAATATATTTGGTAAGAGAGAATCAGGTCCTAATGAGCAGTAGAATGTGACAACTCCAGCAACAAATGACCAGAAGATCATTAAAACATGAAGATACCTTAAAAACAAATTTAACTAGTATTAGAACCAAAGAAAATGTGTAACATTAAAGTATCCATTTATTTAACAAATAATCATTAAACACCTACCTCATAAGACTGAAATATTTTCTCTAATAATTATGAAATTGCTATAATGTATCTATCAACATAGAATAATAAAATGGATGCTAATTAATGTATGTTTTATTTAAATTATAAATTATCAATATTTCATAATCTGGTATCTTTGTTATCACTTTAACTGATCTATATTACATACTTTCAGAATACCTACTAAGGATATTTTCCATACTCCACCATAATTATGCTTATTTTTCATTAAGCCAAAAGAAATTTACTAGGTACCTATTTTGTTCTAGATAGTGCTAGACTCTGGGGATTTAGGAAGGAAAAGCACTACCATAATCTCTATTCCCAAGAAAAACACCATCTAACAGTGGAAGCAGGAATGTAAACAGTATAACACAATGTGATCATGTATTTGATATATGACACAGAATGTATGCATGATACAGGGACACCACAGATTGATCACTCAAACTTGAAAGCAGAAAAGTCTTTTTCAGAAAAAGCAGTACTGCAGACAAACAGCAAGTAGGAGTAAAGCAAAAGAAGGTCCCGGGGAGGCAGGGTAGAGGAATGCGGGACTGGAAACAAGGCAGAGAAATTCAAACTTGAAAGAAACATGTGGGCTAAGGTCTAAGTATAGTTTGAAGGAAAATAGAGATAAATCTAGAGAAGCAAGCAAAAACCAGATGATACACTACAATATAAGAGGTTATGTTAAGGTGCCTCAATATAGGCAGTCCATACACAGCACAGTTCTGATAGGCGCGAATTTCAGTCACCATGATTTTGTTAAATAACATTAGTCATTCACAACATTATTCAAATTCCAATAACCACAGTATATTTAACTGAGAGTAACTGTATAAAGTACAAACTTTACTGCTGGCTCTTCAGTTCACAAATCACTGTATAAATGTATAAACAACAGATTATAATAAGTAACCAGCCACTTCACTTGTGTCACTGATCAGTCACTCATTACCTATCTGTTATTGGTCAGTTCATGCAGACAGCAAAGCAGGAGTTGTGTTACTTCCCTCTCTCCCAATAAAACACCCACTTAACATTTTACCAAAATCAACCAAAAAGGAAATTATTGGTCCACAAACATGGAAATAAAGAAATGAACAGTGATACTACTGGAAGTGAAATTCAAATCAAATGTAAATGTACTGGGAACGGCGCTGTGGCGTAGTGGGTAAAGCTGCAGTCTTCAGTGCTGGCATCCCACATGGGAGCCAGTTCTAGTCCCAGCTGCTCCACTTCCAATCCAGCTCTCTGCTATGGCCTGGGAAAGCAGTGGAAGATGGCCCAAGTCCTTGGGCCCCTGTACCCACATGGAAGACCTGGAGGAAACTCCTGGCTCCCAGCTCCAGATGGGTGCAGCTCCGGTGGCCATCGAGGGAGTGAACCAGCAGATGGAAGACTTCTCTTTTTTATTTTTTATTTTTATTTTTGATAGGCAGAGTGGACAGTGAGAGAGACAGACAGAGAGAAAGGTCTTCCTTTTTCTGTTGGTTCACCCCATAATGGCTGCTGCGGCCAGCGCACCGCGCTGATCCGAAGCCAGTAGCCAGGTGCTTCTCCTGGTCTTCCATGCAGGTGCAGGGCCCAAGGACTTGGACCATCCTCCACTGCACTCCTGGGCCACAGCAGAGAGCTGGACAGGAAGAGGAGCAACCGGGACAGAATCCAGCACCCCGACCGGGACTAGAACCCGGTGTGCCGGCTCCGCAGGCAGAGGATTAGCCTATTGAGCCACAGCGCCGGCCAGACAGACTTCTCTTGCTTTCTCCCTCTCTCTCTCTCTCTGACTCTGCCTTTCTGTAACCTTGCCTTTCAAATAAATAAATATGTCTTTAAAAAAAAAAATGTAAAGGTACTTACAGAAGAAACAGCTGACTGAGAGAATGCAGACATGCAGAGGAGCATAGTGAAGGGAATTTCCAATAAGGAAAGTGGTTGTGATAAAAGGATGAAAATGCACCAGAGAAAGGGATGCAGGGATAAATCTTCATATTAAAGAACTCTTGGAGATATCTCACGACACTGGAAAACCTGCTGGAAGTTGGCCCAAATCTAAGCATATGGCAATTTACCTGGTCACAGAAAAGATATTCCATATTCTAAGTTGTAAGATAAGAAAAAGGCAAACACTATTCAAATTGCTTGATATATTTTTACAAAGAAATAATTCTCAGTGTATTTGATATTTGAAATTACTATATACTCATTTTTTCACTTCCCTATAATTTCACAACTGACAGCAAGAAAGATTTTAATATCTTGACAACAGTTTTTTAAATATTGGACAGGGAGCAGTGCTGTGGCAAAGCAAGTTAAGCCACAACCTATGATGTTGGCATCCCATATGGGCACCAGTTTAGAAGCTCCATCTCCCATCCAGCTCCCTGCTGGTGTGCCTGGAAAAGCTGTGGAGGATAGCCCAGGTACTTTGGGCCCTGCATCCACATGGGAGTCCTGAAGGGAGCTCCTGGTTCCTGGTTTCAAACCGGTCCAGTTCTGATTGTTGTGGCCATTTGGGGGATGAACCAGTGGATAGATCTCTACCTCTCCCGTCTCTCTGACTATGGCTTTCAAATAAAAACAGATAGATAAAGGGCCGGCGTGTGGCTCAGTGGGTAAAGCTGCTGCCTGCAATGTCGGCATCCCATATGGGTGCCAGTTCGAGTCCTGTCTGCTCCACTTCAAAACCAGCTCCCTTCTAATGGCCTAGGAAAAACAGTGAAGGAGACCCAGGTGCTTGGGCCCCTGTAATCCATGTGGGAGACCTGAAAGAAGTTCCTAGCTCCTGGCTTCAGCCTGGCCCAGCCCTGGCTACTGTGGCCATCTGGGGAGTGAACCAGCAGATGGACGACCTCTCCCTCTGTCTCTCCTTCTCTCTAGAATTCTAACTTTCAAATAAATATATAAATGATAATAAAATATTTTATAAAAAAGAACATAGATAGTCGAATGTTTTAGATAAGATAGTTGACATACAGAACCATATAATGGAAGAAACGGTTATGAATGAGAAAGATGTCTTCTCCAATACCAGAAGGATATATAGATGACAATGAAGTAAAATCTATAGATTCAGTACGAGATTTAAAAGCCAGAGGTGGAGAAAGACAGTAGCTGAGTAAAACACTTCAGCAGTTGTCTTCTCACAGAGACACCAATCTGAACAGGTATTCACACACCAAGCTTCACAGAGCTAACAAAGAAAACTGTAAGAAAAGGTGTACTACATGAAGGGAGGAAGAGAAGAGTTAATTATGTCACCTGAATTAACTTTTTTTAAAATTTATTTATATGAAAGTCAGAGTTACAGCAAGAGAGGGAGAGACACAGAGAGGAGAGATATCTTCCATCTCCCAGTTCACTCCCTTAACGGCCACAAAGGCCACAGCTAGGCCAGGCTGAAGCCAGGAGTCAGGAGCTTCCTCCAGGTCTCCCATGTGAGTTCAGGGGCCCAAGCACTTGGTCCACCCTTCACTGATTTCCCAGGAGTATCAGCAGGGGGCTGGATTGGAAGTGGGAGCAGCTGAGATTCAATCTGGCACTCCTGTGGGATGCTGGCACTGTAGATGACTGCGTCACCTGCTGTACCGCAGTGCTGGCCCCAGTCAGCTTTTCATCACTATAGCAAATATCTGACAGAAGCTACTTATAAAGTAAAGAGGTTATCCTGGCTCACAGTTTTAGAGGTTCACAGTCCAAGATCAGGTGAGCCTCACTGGTTCAGCCACCTGAACCAGAGGATGGCAGTGGCAGAGTGTGTGTAGAGGAATGATGACATGGTAAGCAAGGAAACAAAGCCTCAATGTCACAGAGATTACATAACAAAAGGGAAAGTATGTGTCTATGTCCCTATTTACAAAGCCTCCATGAATTCATTACTGGGGCTTCACTCCAAATCTACAACCAAATCCAATCTAATCACCTCCCAAAGGCCTGATCTCTAAATACTATATAACATAGGTCTTTAGGGACCAAGTATTTTAATACACAGGCCTTTGTGAGCTCCCCAACTAACAACAAAATTGTAACATTCCATCTCTGGCCCCCAAAACTTCATGTCCATCTCATAATGCATTCATTCCATCCTCAAAAGTCTAAAAGCCTTAATGGTCCAGCATTGCTCAAAAGTTGAAGTCTAGAGTCTTATCTGAGATCTCAAAGCAAACTGCTTCTATGAGCCTGTAAAAAAAATGTTATATACTTCCTAGATACAATGGCAGAAGAGGCACAGGGTAAACATTTCAATCACAAAAGTAGGAGCTACAAGCTACAGAACTAGAAAAAATTAATTGGACCAAAGGAAAAAAAAAAAAAAAAAGGCAGGACAAACAGCAATCCTAAAGCTCCAAGTCCAGCATCTGGGACACACTGTGATTAAGTATCAACTCCCAAGGGCCTGGGTTACAGTCCATGCTCCAGCTCTCATACGCTGATGCTTAGTCTCTGCAGCTCCATGAAGCATTGCCCTGCTGGGGGATCTCTGCATCAACTTTGATCTGACACCTAATTGATGGAGTAAAGCAATTCTACAAAAAAAAAAAATTTTTTTTCAAATAAAAAATGTAGGAGGTATGAAAGAATCACCACATTGCAACCTTTAATGAAGTAACTGATTAAAAGAATACTGCTAAGGGGCTAGCGCTGTGGCATAGTGGGTAAACCCTTCACCTGTGCAACCAGCATCCCATATGGGTATCAGTTTGTGTCCCAGCTAATCTACTTCCAATGTAGCTCCCTGATGATGTGCCTGGGAAGACAGTGGGGGGTGGCCCAAGTGCTTGGGCACCTGCACCCACATGGGGGACTCAAATTAAGATCTGGAACCCTGGCTTCATACTGGCCCAGATCTGGCCCCTGTGGCCATCTGGGGAGTGAACCAGTGGATAGAGGATCTCTCTTTCTCTGTCTCTCACTCTCTAACTCTGCCTTTCAAATAAAATAAGTAAATCTTTAAAGAGAGAGAGAGAAAATTGATAAACATAAAGCCAAAGAGAAAGTTTGTTGACCAAGTCATCAGCTGTTGCTTTCTGAATCTACAGAAAAAGTAGGGCAACCCCATCTGATGTGTCCTCTGTTGTGACCCAATAATATACACATGGCATCACTGAAATATTCCTGCAAAACTCCCCCCAGAACTAAACTAAATCTAATTGAGTTTATAGATCAAATTCTTTAGCTATCCAAAATATAAAGGTTGGAGTTTAAAAACAAAACCAAAAACATGACACCACAAGGAAAGCATCAGCAAAATCCATAATGATATGGTTTCCTCAAAAAGTCAATGGCGAGCACACTTTAGCCTAGGAGTTAGGATACACACATACCACATCAGAGTGCCTACGGATCAAATGGCATAGTTTCTCCAACAGATAAATCACAAGTTCAAAAAAATGGGAGGGGAGTGGAACTTTTGAATTAATAACCCTACTTAGATCTTAATTTGATGAATTGTAAAAAGCTGTTATAAACAAGAGTCACTGATGAGCAGAACAGAATAAGGATAGACTCAATAGAGCAAATATAGTTAAATGTTAATGGTAAAATCTATGCATTCTGTAATCAGTTGTACAATTTAGCTTTGCTTATATTTTTGAAATTTTCATCATAAAATGTTGGGGAGGGAGTTCTAACAAACTCAGGGAAATCTGAACTAAATGGATATTTGATGATGCTAAGAAATTTCTTGAGACTATAGTTAATAACATTATATTGTATACCTGAAAACTACTAAAGCATTTTAAGCATTCTCACTGCAAAAATTTATAAGTATATGAGATATGTGAAGCAGTTTGCCTTAGCCATTCTACAATACTTACAGATATCAGATTATGTTATGCACAATTATGTAGAATTTTTGCTTGTGAAATAAATGACTTTAGGAAATAAAGTTTTTAAAAGAAATTATTTTAATGTAAAATTTATAGTTATTAAAGGAAAAACTAGCTTATCTTTTAGAGATACATACTGAAATGTTTATAAACAAAATGTGTCATATGGGATTTGCTTCTAAATAATACAAGAGGGAGGTGAAATTTGACATTGAATTGATAATTATGAAGCTAGCCAGAAGGTACATACAGGTTTCATTATACCATTTTATTTTTATTTTGTACATGTTTGAAACTTTCCATAATAAAAAAAATTATTAGGGGCCCACATTGTGGTATAGCCAGTTAAGCCACCATCTGCAACACTGGCATCCAATATGGGCACCAGTTCAAGTTCCAACTTCCTCTACTTCCGATCCAGCTCCCTGCTAATGCGCCTGTGAAAGCAGAAGACGGCCCAAGTGCTTGGGCCCCTGCCACCCACATGAGAGACCTAGGTGAAGCTCCTGGCTCCTGGCTTTGGCCTGGCCCAGCCCCAGCTGTTGTGGCCATCTGGGGAGAGAACCAGTAGATGGAAGACCTCTCTGCCTCTCTGTGTCTTCTCTCTCTGTAACACTGCCTCCCAAATAAGTAAATCTTTTTTAAAAAACTATTAAGAAAAGGTCATTGAGGGGCCAGTGCTGTGGTGCAGCGGGTTAAAGGCATGGTTTGTAGTGCCAGCATCCCAAATGGGCACCTGTTCAAGTGCTGGCTGCTCCACTTCCAATTCAGCTCCTTGTTAATGCAGCTGGGAAAGCAGCAGAGGATTGCCCAAATGCTTAGGCCCTTGTGCCCACATGGAAGACCAGAAGAAACTCCCGGCTCCTGGCTTTGGCCTGGTCCAGTTCAGTTATTGCAGCCATCAGGGAGGGAACCAGTGGATGGAGGATATCACTCTCTCTCTCTCTCTCTCTGTCTTTCCTTCTGTCTCTCTGTAAATCTTTTAAATAAATAATCTTTTAAAAAAAGATCTGAATTAATGAAGAGCTATTTATGATTATAAATGGAACTATTAAATATAATAAAATATAAATTCTACTTAGATTAATTTACAAGTTAAATAAAATTTTTCAGATTATGAAAGCAGGAATCTAAAGCCCTTTTCTTTGATTACAAGCTAGCCTTAATAAGTCACTTCTAAGCACCAGCAGAAGTGATGATGCCTGAATTCCAAGGCAAGTTCATAAAAAAAGATATGGTTTCCACCCAGCTCTCTATCTCAGGTTATTTGTGATTCTAACCCAGCATCATGTTGGTAAAAAGACCATGTGGAAAGGTCATTTTTAGGTGTTCTGACCAATAGTCCAGTTCTCAACAACGAGCACCAACTGTCACATGTCAAATTATCAAGTGAGGAAACAAGCCTACAAATCCAGCTGACACACAATGAACACAGGGTAGCTATACCTACTAACTCCTGTTCAACTTGCAGTTCCGTGAGCAAATTAAAGGTTGCTACGCTTTACACCACTAAATCTTGGGGTGGTTCATTATATGACAACATATACAAACAAAACAGAAACCACAATGAAAATATCAGCTGTTTAGAAACTTGTCCTCTATTCATTCCAGAATGTATATGAAAAAACAAAGGTTCAGAAGAAGCTGAGCCAACTTTGAAAAAGAAGTGCCAACAGAGAAGTTTCACCCTAACAAATACTAAAATATACTACAAAACTACAATATTACTGTTTCGAAAAAAAAACCTACTACTATTTTAGGAAAGGAAAAATGAAGAAACAAAATACAGAGTGAAATCTGGGAACAAAATACATGACATTTTGGAGACTGACAAATCTGGCTCTGATGCAATACTTAACATCTCTGACCCCTGTTTGGTCAGGGGAATAATAACACCTAACTCATAGTGTAATTATAACGATTAAGTAAGTCCTTAAAAGTGCTTAGGGATGGGTGCTATGGCATAGCACAGCTTGGGATATCTATATCGCA